GGTTCTCGTGCCTGGCTCTCAGTCATGATGTGCTGTCAGTCTGGCCTTACTGTTTTCTCTTCTCTCCAAATCACCCCAGCTCTTCTCTTTTGGAAACTCTACCGCCAGCCCTCCCCCAACCCTCTCTGAAGTGTCCCTAGGAAAAAATTAATTTTTCCTCAATGTTCCCAGAACAGTTTATTTTTCAAACCGTATCTTATGATTGGAGATAACTGTATTAGTTTTGGGTACAGCATTAATCACATTTCCTTTTAATATTTCAATTAAGCAGTCTGAGTCATCACAGTTCTCTTCCAGCAGTTTCTCTCATTCCCAGGCCCACATTCCAGAGCTGCTCTGAGAGCAACATAATTCTTGATGGCCTTTCACACTTGGTGCTGCAGCCTGCAGCTCACAGGCATTCAGCTGTGTTGCCATCACACCTGCTTTACCAGCAGGATGGAGTGGGGTCATGCTCAAGGTCACACAGCTGTCCTCTCTGGCTGAGTGTGTCACGCTCTTCTGGAGAAGCTTCACGGAAGATGAAGAAACCGCTTTTGTGATTGTGAAGATGGGGTGGAAGAGCGGGCGGAGCTCCGGAGACGTTGAGTAGGAGACAGCGATGCTCTCCTCCCACCGCTGTGTCGTCTCAGCCTGCGTCTGTGCAGACACGCATTAGGAGAAGCCACTGCGTATCCCACTGGGGCCGAACCAGGACCTGGGGCCAGCATGGGCATCAGCAGCACGGGCACAGGGGCTGGAGCTCAGGGGACGTTGTGAGGAAGGCTCTCGAATACCCCAGCCATTCTCCCTGGATGTCAAGCACAGCTGGCGGAGATGTGGATGAGCCTGTCTGCCCCTGTGAGCACGGAGCAAAAGACAGTGCAATCTGCATTCTTCCCACGGACAAGATGCCCACAGTGCCGTGGCGGGGTGGAGTCTAGAGCCAGGTGGCTCCACTGACGAGCTTATCTCTTCTCCGCTTACTTTCTACCCTGGCTTTTAAGAACCTGGCGCTCAGAGAATCAGAGCTTGCTCAGGACCAGGATTCCTATGAGTGGCTGGGAGGGGCTCCAACCCCAGGCCTCTCTGACTTTAAACTCATTTTCCCTCCTCTGCCTTCCCGTGAGCGTGCATTAAAAATGCCCTGCTGTCTTGTGCTGACTGACAGGCAAAGCATTCCTTCCTCATCCCTTGGTGTTTCCCATGGCCTGGAAGTTAGAACTCACTGACCTCTTCATGCAGCGAATTCGCCAGTGAAGAGCTGCATCCTCACCCATGTCAGAGAAGTCTCTGTGTGCTGCTGTAGTCTGATGATCCTCAGTGTGCTTTTCTTCAGAAAGAGGGGCTCCGACCTAGCTTCACTTCCAGTGCGTGAGTGAATGCATGTGTGCACCATGGCTGCCCCACTCGGTCACGTGGTGCACAGATGCCAGCAGGCCTCCCCGGCCACAGTTTACCGTCTACCTCCCAGTGGTGCTTTTTAAAAATGCTCAAACAAGATGCTTTTCCAAAAGTTCGTATCCTTCTTATATGTGGGCATTATCTTACTTGAGCACTTCTCTGCAGCCCTTTTTTATTAAGAAAACAGGAAATAAAAAATTGTATCTCAAAAGGAGAAAGGAGAGGTGGTGCTATAACTCCATTAGTAGATATGTGGGAGATATCAGTTCTGCTGAGCCCATAAATTGATTTTCCTCACAGGAAACGGGATCCTGCAGGAGGACTGTAATGTGTTCAAGGTTCCAGAGAAGCTCCCTTCCATTCTAGAGGAGGAGGTATGCCACTGCTGCGGGCCGTGTGCACCCACATGTGAGTACCCTGCATAAGTCCAGGGGCACACAACTCGCTCAGGTCCCCCACGGAGGATGGGGTCCCAGGGCTGGCCAGTGTCCCCTGTGCCCCTGCGCTGGCTCAGCTGCTCTGCTGGCTGTGCCAAGTCCAAGAGGCGATGGCATCTTTGCCTCCTTACATCCAACTCAGCAAAATTCCAGAAGGAAGGCAGGCCCTCCTGCTGGTCAGGACAGGGGTCCCACACGGCCCTGGGGCCTCTTCCTGGGATGCACAGATGTCGCAGGCTTAGACTTACAGAAACACCAATCTCCACAGACTGCATTTCTGCAACAGGACAGGGTGGGGCTCGGAGCGAAGCTTGGTCTGGGACGCTCAGTCTCTCCCTACAGTTATGCAAACTGCCCGAAGGAACAAGAATGGATTTTGCCAAGAATGTTTCCCCTCAGTATTTTAACCCCAATAAATTGTGTCTCAGAAAATGAATCCATTCTGTTCTAACATCTTTAATTTACTGATGTTCATGATTTTCTACACTTTACTTCCAATCAAAGTATGAAATGGAACATTAGTTCCAAAGAGATGCACTTTGAGTTTTGTACTCAGAGTCTAAATAGGCTGTTTTGAATAGTTGAGGTTTTTCGTCTTTTAACAGTCATGAATAAACTACTGTTCTTGCACAATGTGGATGATTAAACGATAAAACTTGGAAGGAGGTCCACAATGGAATAACAATGAGAGCTCATAAAGGCTGCAGGATGAGGCCTTGGTACTTCATCTTGGTAGCTGCTTCTTAAATGCGTCACAACCTTGAGGCTGTAGGGATGGATGGAGGTCAGCCCATGCTGCACGGGAAACCAGTGGGAAGAGATACTTAGAGGGGCACTTTGATGGGAGATGGCTTCATGCCAGCATAGGTCTGCAGGCCGTGTGAAATGGCCCCGCCCAGTTCCCCCACCCAGCAATGTCCTACCCCACCTCCTCCAGATGTCTGCCTCCAGTTCAAACACCACCTTCTCCACAGATCCCTCCCCACCCTCCTCTCCATTTTAAAGTCAGTTCTCTTCTTTGAAAGCTTACATTTTCATATGTCCCTCTTGAGTCAGATTTACTCCTCTTTACTATGGTCATTTGAATCCATGTCTGATATCCCTTACTTTGAAAATCTCCCCCACCCCACCCCTCGAATCGAAGATGGAATCCAGGGCCTAGGCACATGGTCTATGCTGAACCTTAGTGTACCCCACCTTTGAGTTCTTCACAAATACTCAGTGCCTTATGCAGAATGCAGATAATAATAAAGAGATGCTTTATGTCCCAGTCTGTAAGGTGTCATTTAGTCCTTTAAATATGAGACCCAAGACTTCAAGGAACTGAATAAGTAGTAAATATTCAAACCCAGTGCAATTTCAGACCTGGTACTCCTAAAAAGAAGTACTAACTCAGAAAAAAACTGAGTTTACCAAGTAACAGAATCACAAAGCAGAACTGGGTGATGTGTTTCAATCTACTAACAAGCACTCATGTGAGGTGGTGTGTGTGCTCTAACCCTCTCTGAACATTACTGAACAGCAGGCCCGTTTCTCCTCTGTAGTCCTCCTGTGAGCTTTGTGTCCCTATGCATGCATATTGAACCCCAAAGCCTGGTGTTCTGAGCCACTATGCAAGGGTGCTCCAGCTCCCATAGGGGTCATCAGAACTCACTGTGATCGTCCACACCCATTTGTATCATGCTGCCTTGTTGCCCTGTTGTCCAAGCCCTGGTGCCTCCCACTTTGAACTCTGTCACACATTCTTGATTATGGTCTTTAAGGTTGGGTTTTTACTTGATTGGCTTTGGGATTCCCCAAAGGATTGGTGGAGCACACTTCTGGGTGGGTCTGGGTGGGTCTGGGTGGATCGTGTGGCTTTGTGGTCCATGTCTGGTCCCTTGCCCCTTGTTTTCTGGCACTGTCCCCCACTCTGCTTTCTATGAACTAAGCATCTTTGCTCCCACACACCCTTCTGCCATGATGTTCCTGCCTTGGAGCAGCCGACCATGGACCGAATCCCCTGAAACCACGCGTCAAATTAAGCTTCTCCTCCTTTAAATTGTGGGTGATAGTTATTGTGTCTCATTGATGGGAAAGCTGACTGATACATTAGGCTTCTAATTTCCTCCCCAGCCTCCTATTTTCTGGTCAAACAAGTCGCCTTTTTCATTCCTTCCTCTTAGGTTCATTTTTTAATCACTTGCAACATTCCTGTTGCTCCTCTCGGTGTCCTCTTCAGGTTATATACATGTGATACTAATATTAAGTGGCTGCTTGAATTACTCAGCTGTTGATCCACTACTTGTTAAATGCTTTTCTCAGAAAATAGCAATTGTGAGATTGCACAGGGAGAGAGGTTAACTCCATTGTCACGTGCATGACTATCAAAGAAGCACCAGGGAGCAGATGGAGTATGGGAAAGTAACTGCTAGCTGGAACGGTGGAAGAGAATGAGGCTCTGCACCTCAGGAGCCACACACACAACTGAACCTTGTCTGCTTGTGGCAGTGGATTGGGGGCCCATGGACTAATGCTTTTCTCCACCCCCTGCACTGTGGGGGCGTGGAGCCAATCTGGTGTATGATGGTAGCAGACTTGGCATCTTGGCTGCACAGTGCCTTGGGTTATAGTGCAGCCCAGAATTATTGCTGGCATTTTCCTCCTATGAAGATTCACGTTGATGTAACAGTCCTGGACACCCATCTTTTCTGTGTTCCTGTTTCTGTGCTCACTCTGCAGTATATATGAAGTATACAGATTTTATGAGATTATGATGTAGAACTTTAGTACTGATCTTTGTTTTTTAACTTATCTCTGCAAAAATACTTGGGAGCAATTAAGAATGTCTACATTTTCTTGAACACACCATAAAATACAATGCTTTTCTTCCACACATACCCCATTCTGGGAGATCGCTATGATCTCATTAGATCAACAGAAAAAGTACTGTATGAAAGCAAGCAGTAAGTAATTCTAAAACATAATGGAACTCTTAACTGTTGCCCACAGTTACTATTATCATTAGGCAGAGAAATATTTTTTATCATATTTTTTTATCATATTACCTTCTTTCCAGTTTTGAAAACTTAGAGTGGTTACCTCGGAGAGGAGTTTGTGCAAGAGGCCTCACCTGTGTAAGTCTTATCCATTATCTCATCTCTGCATTTCCCTTTTTCAGCTCTGAATCCAACATGACACCTTGGGTGCCTGAGTCTCCTTGTTGCCTATCTGGTAACACGGGTCCCCACCTGTGACTTACCCACAGCTCCCTGCAGTGCTCAGGGACACGACAGCCAGATTTCCTGTGAACCAGGGAGGTGTGCAGCTGTCTGTCACAGGCTCCCTGGGCTGGCGCTGCTGTGGGCAGCTCTGCACAAGAACTCCTCTATGCATAACAGATTCTAATCCAACCTTGAGTAACAGGCAGCCTCGATTCTTCTCACTTCCCAAATGCAAAATCACCTACTGTTTATTTAGCAAGCACTGACTGAAACCTGTTACACACCAGGAGAATCAAGAGTTCTTTCTTATGAGGAGCTCTTTGATGCCAATGTTTCTTTCACGGGCAGGTCTTATACACGTAATTGCTCTGTCTCCTGTGGCCATCACTTGTGTGAGGACATGAGCCTTATCGGTCTTTTTTGACTTTTACACATCCAGTGCTCAGCACAGTGCCTGGTACAAAGCAATGCCCCAAACAAGAAATAAATGGTCTTTAAAAACAGAAGGCAGATAGAGGAATATTTTGGACCATTAGTATACATTTGTTAAAAACAGGTGATTTACCAATTTTCAAAGAGCTAGCCTGCAGGAAACCCATCCTTAAAGTATTATCTAGGCCTTTAGATGCATCTTTTAATTTAGTTTTTATTAGTGCATGCTTCAGTACATAATGACTACATTCCTCAGGTGGAGCTGGTGCCTAATCGCGGTGTGTCTGGCGGTGGTCGGTATCATCAGGTCTCCCCTGCTGTCTCTGTGCTGCTGCTCTTCCCCTGAAGTCCCAGAGATGATTAGTAGAAAACATGGAAAATTATTCTATTTGTCCAAAGACCCCATGTAAAAAAGGAAGATGGCCGTTTGGGACCTGCATGTCAGGAAGCCTTGGTAATTACATTGGTTGGACCTTCTAGGAAGCTATGGCTGCGTCCTTTCTCCTGTTGACAAATGTCACCTCTACTCATCTATGCAAAGGTTTGCTTAATCTATTTTTGAAGCTCTGGCATCTCCTTGGGGCACAACAGGAAGGAAATGCACGGTGCCAGGAGCCTGTAGGAGCCTGGGATTGTTTGGACCACGCAGACCCCAGTCTGGGAGGTTTCTAGGTTGGAAAGCATTATTTCAGAGGGAGTTTTCAAGGTCTGTAAAGCCATCCTCAATTTTCTGAAATGAGTGGAGCAGCAAAAATAACTTTGCGAGAGGTATGCTTCTATCTTCTGTGTAGTGAGCAGGAAAATAAGGGAACTGGTGAGTTAGAAGGCTGAGTTCTTGGCGAGGGCAGTGTCTTCTCGAGGCCTCTACCACTGTCTGAACCCAAGGGACCACATACAGTGACCCCAGCCTCTCGGCTGACACCTTCTGCTCCTCCGAGCGCTGACTCCATTTGACCCGAAGCCCTGGACAGGGTGGAGGTCGTGTTCTCATCAGGGCCACAGCGGGCTGCCACTCTACAGGGTCTCGGCACAGGGGCTGATGCCGACGGACGTGCGGCCGCCCTGTGCCTCCGGGAACTCTGAGGTGGACCCCTCTGTCTGCTGCTGTTGCTGCAGCCCAAGTCCCACCTCAGACCTGCGACACAGCTGCCCCATCCTCAGCAGTGGTGGAGACACACCTGCACGACACAGCCCACCTGCAGGCCAGAGGTCATGAGTGGTGTTGTCACCTCCGGGCGGGACTGCAGGGCACCTCAGGCTCCCAAGTTCCCAGGAAATAAACAGCTTCTCACCTCAACCCAACTCTCCCATCTCCCTCACTCATAGGTATGTCTCTCCTCCCATCTTTCTATTTCCATGAACTGTCTTCTTTTATTCATCAACGTTACTCTGAGGCCCACTGTGTCTCGGATGGGACAGGGCTGAGCTCTGCGGATACAATGACGAGCAAGACAGCTCCTCCCTGCCCAGCGCCCTCCAGTGTGGAGAAACAACAGCAAATAGCGCGGATCATCGGAGAGGAACTGGAGCTGTCATCGAGGCCGTGGAGACCGATCCCACCTCCGGCAGAAACACCTCTCCCCGTCTTCGGTCTTCGGGAGAACCTTCTTGGAAGAGCCGCCCCACAGCCGAGTTCTGAATGTCAAGACCAGCTCGAGCCTGTGTAGAGCCCGGGACGCAGTAAGGCTGAGGGAGAGGAAGGGGCAGGAAAGAGGACGTTTGCACGAGAGACTGCGGAAGCCCGTGTAATGGGACACGGGAGACTCAGGTGGAGTTTAGGAGGAGGCCGGGCCAGGTCCCCCGAGAGCTCCGAAGGCCCAAGCAAACTCCTGAGAACAGAACTCTGTTCTTGAGAAAAGCGGTGCGTGTGAGCCGGTGACTGGTAGAGGATGCACAGACTGCCCGGCCGGGCGCTCGGGAAGGACTCGCCAGAGAGGAGCACTCAGAGGAACAGGCTGCGGCGTCTGCGAGAGTGCACTGCGCAGTGAGAGGCACAGGGTGTGGACTCCAGCACCGAGGGCCCTCCACCGGCCGTGCCCTGCGCCGGTTACTTCCATAACCCAAGAGACGCACCTGGCGGTGTGCTGCGGGCTAACCCAGACTTCCTGCAGAGCCAGCCCAGACTTCCTGCAGAGCCAGCCGCTGAAACACAGATGAACTCGGCCTCGGGAAACCCCTTCAATTCCACTTTCCGTGGGTCTTCTTCTCTCTACGTGGATGCCTTTTGGGTCTGGATTCTGCACAGTATCCCACATCTGTTAGCGTTTAGCTTTGCTCCTCATTCTTAAGAGCCTTTCTTCACCCTTCCTTGTTACATGCTAAAATGTGATCATTTGATTCCAAATTCTTCCCTCTACTTGGTGTCTGTTTGAATGTTATCATCAAGCTGTAAACTTCTAATACTTTAGTAGTAATTTTAGAAATTTAAAATACAAGTAGGTTTTCTGGATTATTTTCAACAAAGCATTAATAAACTTATTTCCAAGGAACACTTTAATTGGTTTCCTTAGGCTCTTTGAAATATAAGTTGAGCCAAAGGTGAAATAAAGCTTATTATTATTATATTGTTGTATTTTGGAGTATGCGACCAGCTCTGGTGGAGCAGTGGGAAGATTTACATACAATGAACCCAGATGGTGGAAGACCACTGTTGTACGTCTTACTGTGAAGAACAGATCAAGCAAGTAAACTATTCCCAGACGTTTAGCACAGAGCCTAGGTCTGGAATAATTACTGTACTTCTGGCAAGAGAGAAAAGTAGAAAATGGAATTTAAGTGGAGGTAAAATTAAAGGAATTATTGCATTCTTTTGGGGACATAATCACCTGTAACTTGAAGAATGATAATTCCACGTCATGCTCTTTATCGATTTCTGTACTTGTGGACTGCACTGTAGATGTGAGAGAATGCTGACCTAGATAGACTTTAAAAACCAAAAAACACACTTGGTTTGCCAAGTGGCTATTGAAAAGCATTGAGTAGTATATCTGGAGAATATGGAAGCTACAGTTCCAAAAATCATAAATAGCATGCTTTTGTTGAAATATATAACATGCCCTTTTATAACACCCACAACATTTTGAACAAATTAACATCCATTTTGCATACTTATTGCAAATTGTGGGAATAATTTCATTTAAACACTTTAATACTTCTAATGTGTAATGATATCCTTTCTTAACTCAAGCTCCTAATTTCAAACAGCTTCACTGATGTTTTATCTTCAATGACAAATACTTCATTTTTCTTTTGAGACTACCTAAAATATTCACATTTAGTCTTATGGTCTCTGAAGAAGATTACACAGCATGAGAGCCTTTTGGTTAATACAGCTATTAGGTCTTTATAAAATTCAAAAAGAATAAATGGATCAATGCTGGTTTCAGCAAATACCCTCTTTCCACAGAATAAGCCAACTAAATGCATAAAAACACAGTTATCTAGAAGAGTCACTCAGCACCACAATGAGAAAGCCAGAGATGAAGAACTCTGTGGATAAGCCACAGTTCTTACAGCTTTGATATACAATGTGAGATAATGGGAAACAATCAAATACCTAGCCAACAATTTTATGAATTCTATCTTAAAGTACCCAAATAGCTTACAAAGAAAATTTTTACATAGAGAATAAATCAAGCTAATATATTCAAGAAATGAATTTAGGAGAAATCTAAAAATATTCTTCCCAGAAAAAGAATAAAATAGTGTAATTCAGGGCAAAGAGTCCAGGTGGTCTAGCCAGCTAATAAATGAAGAATTCCTCTGTAACAGAATTTCAAAACTCTTTCAAGGTCTTCTTTAATTAAGGATGGACATTGAGACACTAAGATGTAAAGGAACTTGGCCAATGTCATGCAGAAAGTTGGCGGCTTTACCCATGCTATAAGCTAAGTCTCTTGAATCCTGATGTCTTAGTGTGTGTGTGTGTGTGTGTACGCGCGCGCATGTGTGTGTGCTCTTTCTATGACACCATATGTTCCTGAGGCTTCTACTGGGTGACAGGGCAATGAGTCAGAAAGTGGCTCTTGTCTTCAGTTTTCCTGGAGAAGGAGCCAGAAATTGAAATAAAGTGAGTGGAGACCCTCAGCCTTCACTCCCCAGACTCTCGTGGAGTGAGGTGTTCAGAAGTCTGTGCTTTCCGCACGTCTGCTGGTCAGAATCGTGGCTGTCCAGTCATTTCAAGCCAATCATGGAGTTTCCACAGTTAGAGGGCCTGCAGGAACGAGGAGTCTCTACCACATGCTTCCTAGGCTTTCCCGAACTGCTCAGAGAGGAGGGAAGGATGAGGAAACACACAGAGACAGACCTTCTTTGTACATTGTCTCCCGGCCTGCCAACCAGCTGGCGACTCCTTAGCATCTGCAGCCTTGCACTGACTTCTGCTCAGGGAAGCTGGGTGATGTTTACTGTCGAACGGGGCCCTGGGAGATTGTTCTTAGAAGGAGCACCTCTGCGAACCTTTGTACATCCACTGAAAAATCTCTTATAGCCAGGATTTCACAAACTAGACTGCCTCCTCGCAGTACAAAAACAGAAAACAAATCTTAAAGTTGTGAAAGCCAGTCATATGGATGTGGTTTCTCCTTACACAAAGTAATTTATATCTCTGGAGCACTGTGTAGCAGTAAGGGGGGAGACTTTAAGATACGGTGTTCTACTCTCCAGGATTTGGTGAACCATTGAGAATTCAAAACAGTAATTTCTATTTACTCATTATTCATTCATCATGCATTTTTTTGAATCCCCTCTGCATGGAGAGGCTTGGGTCAGATACTAGAAAAGATGCCAAAATTCAAAAAGTATGATCCTTCAACAATTTGCCATTGTCCAAAAAGAAAATTCAATCAAACAATAATACAAGAATAAATATGTGGCATAAACATTACTTTGATTTAAATGGTCCACTTAAGTTTTCAATATTTCTTGAAACAATACATGTAGGCACTCAAATGTCACGTCTTAATCACTCTTTCTCTCATAATTAGTGTTCAAGTCGCCCTGAGCCTGGGGCTAAAGGGGTGTGCACAGGCTCCTGGGCACAAAGCAAGCTGGGGCCATGATGGGCTCTAGGACAACGTCCACCTCTTGCTGCCAGGCACAGTGCTCCATCTTGCCATTTCTAGCCAAAGTCTGCTGCTGTGGGATTCCCACGTTGGGCCTTCTCAGCATCGTCAGTTCTGATTGGTTGACCAAGGAGCCTGTCAGCGGTCTCTGCTGAGGTTTAATTTGGTCAGATTTCAGCCTGAGGCTGCTCCGTGACTGAGTAGGTTGTCTGTCAAACCTGCACGACAAGCTCCCAGCCAGTCTCAGGTGCTCTAAAAGCCAGGATGGCTATGGGAAGTGAACTTCCTGGTTACCTCTGTCTGAGCACCAGAGGAGCCTACTTGCTGTGGTCGCAGTCTCGCCAGTGGCTGGGGATTCTTCAGAGGACCCCTCTCCAGAGGCCTGAATGTGGAGCAGGCAGAACTCTTGTCCTCTGCCAGTGTTTGATACCTTTCTGGAATGTTCTCAGGGAGGAAATCAGAAGGTGACTATCTGCTTTGCATTCTCGTTTTTCTCTTTACTCTTTCCCACAGATTTCCTAGATCTACGCAGTGTTAAGCACTTCTTTTCTTTCTCTGAATTCTCATCTTTCTATATTCAGTTGGCCTAGATGGAATATGTCCTCCACACCACAGTGAATCCCTGAGCTTATTTTTTACTACCTGAAAGGAGAGTAGGCTCCATGGAATCTGGAATTCTGCACTCATAAAAACTGTCTGTTTTCATTTTAGAGGCCAAGTATTACCTTGCTTTCTCTTTCTAATATCCAAATGTCCTCCAAGTCTTACGGGTGCTTGAGTAAACGGGAGTGAAGATTTTGTACTCAGAAACACAAAAGGGAAAGGAGTGTTGAGTGTTTAAGGCATCCACTCGCTCATGCTCATTATGCATATGCTTGTCATTTGGGCTTATCTCTTCCCCGACTCCCAGAGAGCTCAAGACCACATCGTCCCATGAGAACCTCTCATGAAACAAGGGCCCACAATCAAGTTTACTCCTCGGCCCTGTGAAATACTGAGACCAGAAGCTTCCAGAAACTTCTTACGATAATAATAAATGGTGCTGGAAGCATCCACAATGGCAGAACCCACTCTTGGGTGCTGTATAGCCCTTGGTACAAGAGAGAAATCTGGAGACTGACACTCAGGATGTCGTCCTTTCCTTGGTGCCAGTCACGCCAGCAGTGGTGAAGGCGTGCAGACCAGAGCTTCTGCTTCCAGTCCCTTGGCTGGGAATGGAGGAAGGAGGTGGAGAAAAGGGAAGAGGCCAGCAGTCTCCATCCCTGGAGTGCACATAACCAAGCCCAGGGCCATTCTGACTGCCCAGGAGGGACGGGGGTTTCCCCTGCCCAGAAACTCCTTTCCCTGACTCTGGTTTCACTTCTACCTCTCCTTCCCATTCTCAACTCCAGCCCTCATTCTCAAATCATATACCCATGATTGTTGTTGTTGTATGCTTCACTCTTTCATTTCATACTTATCTTGATTTGTGATTATGTATTTGTGCTCTTCATTATTTTGTCAGTGTTTGAACCTGGAGTTCATTCTTTAGAGAGCCAGGAGGAACAGAATGAAGAGACTCCCATCACAGATGGCAGGTGGGAGCTGGAAGCCCATGCAGACCAAGAGTGTGGAACTCCAACTCCTCTGGCCAGGGGTGAGTGCTTCTTGGAGTTGGTGCCAAATGGTCCCCAAGTCTTCACAGGCCTTGCCTTCCTGCCTTACCAAGCCCGTTTTCATGCCCCTCATTTCCCATTCCACTCCCAATTTGTTCTCCAATTTCTACTGCTCCCTGCCCAGTGCCTTGTCTGAGCCCACCCTAGAGAACCAGGTTGCAGGATTGAGATGCTTCCTCCCATCCTCCAGACTATGGTGGGAGGATGCTGTAAACCACTGCAGAACTGGAATGTACAGAACTGCTGTGTACTTTGCTTTAAACACAAGATCATGATGACCTAAAGTAGTAGCAGAAAAATGACAACCAGTGAACTTAAAACAATGCCCCAGGCCTGTGGGAGACTATGACCCCTGCCACCCTGACCCCAAAGGGTGTTAGCTTCTCATTATATCCAGGCACCTGGTGCTTGCCGCTTGCATGCAGACTGAGCCAAGTACAGCTCCATCTCTGACTCCAACGTGCACTCAGGAGCTAACCCTGAGCTCCCACTTCGCTCTTTCAGGACCAAGCCAAGCTGCAGTGAGTCTCAGCTCTCCAGCTTCTCCTTTGCCCTGGCACACTGTGGCCCCGATGCTTCTCTATCCTAAGTTGTTACAGCAGAGTGCAGGCAGATGGAGCAGAGCTGGGTGAATCTGAAGGCAGCCCACCCTCGCCCAAGCAGGTGGGACACGCACTCCTCAGAGGCAAGCGCGCCTTCCTGAGTGGAGAACCTTGTCAGAGCCCGCTGTTGTCAGAGGCCAGCTGGGCTTGAGTCTGCTCTGGGAGATGCCCCACACAGCAGTTCTTAGAGTGGGCATCTGAGCTGTGATCTTCCGATGCCGGCTACAGCTCCGTGGCCAGATCTGGCTGCTCACTGTCCTCACTGTACACCTGGGGTCTGCGCTCTGCCTGGGGTCCCCTTCCAGAACCCAGCACACCCCACTGAGATCCTCACTAACTGGAATGTCTGCCAGCTGTTTACCATGCAGCTCTGCATAGCTGTGTGGACCTTTTTCTCTTTATATGCACCCAAATAAGGTCCCAGAAGACACCCTTGTAGCCCATCAGGCCCTGGGTCTCCATCACTCCAACCCCACGTCCTCTGTCTGGGTCTTCCCACCACATATATCCTCTTAATTCCTTCACCATGGATGAATGGGCTTTTACAAAGGGAAGTATGTCTCCTTACCTATGTTCCTGGGCGAATTCTTTTGTTGTAGCCTCTGCCTGGTGTGTCTGTCCAGTAGATATGATGCAGCACAGATGTATGCCCGAGTATGCTCACTCAGGGCCGTTCTATATCGAGTGCTTTCAGGCACACGAGTGTTCACAGCAAATGATGGCCAGGTTTCCATGCTGGAGAGTTCTTTCTTTCTCAGACTTGTTGAAAGTTGGATTTATAAACTGAATTTGTGAAATCTTTTCTTTAAAATATCACTGCAAAATGTATGAGTATGTATTAATGCTTATGAAAGCATTTTAATAGAACCATTAAACTTTAAAGGTTGGTGTTGAGCCTCATCTCTGGTGGTCAAGGCGGCTGTCACTCTTGGGTAGAGGGTCCCTGCTGTCGTCCCTGGGCTGTGGGAAGAGCCCTCGAGGGACCTGGGGGCCTCCCTCACGGGCAGTTGGGAATTTGTCAGAGAAAAAACACAGTATTCTGAGTTTGTTTTTGAGGAATGTCTGTTTCTCTGGGTAACTGTGGCCAAAGCAATAGCTTGAAGCAAAAAGCAAAATAGGCAACTGATTTTCTTCTCCCCACCTGAAATGGATGTAGGCTAATAATATACTCTATGGATGAAACATTAGCTGTGTTCTTTCTATTTGTTATCTTTTAAGGTTTTTGCTTATTGTGGAAAGCCCTGCACAGGGACAGATGGCTAATAACATGCAGAATACTTTTGGTTAGCAGCAACACTTATTCACATTTTCATGTGAAAATGTCCAGACACCTGAAGCTCCAGAGTAGCCTTTCCCTGCAGGCAAGCACAGACACACGCGGTCTGTCCCCTCTCTGCTCTCTCTTTTCTGCTCAGACACATCTACACCATGGATTATGTATACGATATCTTCAATTTCTAGTAAACTGATAGTAGGGTCGCACAAATATATTCAGCTGACCATGCTCTCTATATGGGCCATGCATTAGCAGGGAAATATGATAAATGTGTATAAATACTATATATAATATTGTATGCATTTTAATATTCTCTCTCTCTCTCCATATACGGTGTGTGTGTGTATATATATATATATATATATATATATATATATATATATATATATATAAACCGTGTTATTTTCAGACATTACAGGGAAGTTCAGGGAAAGGTCACGTCTGAAAAGTGAGCCCTCTCTGCATTCTGGAGAAAATGGCACTTCGCTATTTCCATTTTTAAGACTTCCCTCCCCCCCAATAAAATATAGGTTATATGATTCCAAAGTTCTCAGTGAGAAAGTTTTTCTTTCAGGGCTAAAGAAAACTGCAAGTTATTATAGTCCATGAGAAGTATTTAAGGAGAGTGGGGAGTAACACATAATTTCAACATATTTGGGGATTAAATTAATATGATTATATATCATTTTAGACCAGAAGAGTAAAAGCATTCTCTTGCAATTGACTTTTCTCCCAAATGAACTGGATTGTTAGTTTGATAAATATTTTCTGTTAAAACCACAACCAGCTAGGTATTTCAGAGAAAAAATAAAATCACATTTGTCATTAGTCCTATCTCAATCAATAATGTAAATTTGGTGACTTTCAGGGTATAAATTGAATTTATTGAATTTGGTGGATGTGGGGGAACCATCTGTGGATGTCTACATAGGTGGTAGTGGTCTGTGACTCTACCCTTCTGTTACTAATCATTTCAGATAATGTAGATGTATAGATTTGCATCATGCTTTCTACTCTTAGTCACTTTGAAATTGATCTTCATTTCCCTTTATACTTGCCTGAGAATTCATGCCACCTGTAATCACCTGTGTCCCAAAGGAAATCTAGAGAATTTATCTAAATATGTCTGTCATTGTGAAGCAAAGAAACAGAGACATGGACACAGGAGGTATTTGGGTTGTTGCAAAAAGCCATTGGAGAAGATCAAGACCTTGAAATGGTGATGAGGTCCATAGCTCAGAGGACATGAGTAGATGCTCTCCAACTAAGAGGAATATTCACGAGTAAGTCACCACACACTTAACCAAAATGAATCGCTGTGTCCTGACTCAATTAGATAAATGAGAGAAAGAATTAGAATTGATAAATATGCTTTTTCTTATATCACCTAGTTAGCCTCTCTCACTTAACACCATTAAATGTGTTGAGAGATGTGCCTCCATGAGGAGATGTAACCTACGGCCATATCCACTGGAATTGGAATTGTGAGCACAGCTCCTTGCTTCCTGCTTGCCCTGGGTTGAGCAGCTTTCCTCCATCATGCCCTTCTACCATGCCAATTTTCCACTGAAGCTAGGTGACCATGGACTGAATTCCCCAAAACATGAGCAAATTAAAATTCTCTTTCTTTAAATTGTGGGTTGTGGACATTGTGTCTTAGCAATGAGAAAGCTGACTAATTATTACAGGAAACTGGTACCAGAGAAGGGAGGCTGTTGCTGAGACTGTACCTGACTATGTGGTTTAGATATCTTAGGAACTGGCTTGTAGGAAGAGTCTGGAAAGATTTGGAGCTGCTGGCCAGAGGAATTCTAGAATGTTGTGAATAGAGCTTGATGGTTGATTCTGGTTGGAGCTCAGATCAGAATGCTAATAAGAATGTGGACAGTAAAGGCCAAGCCTAGGAGGTTTCAGTTGGAAACAAGGACTCCATTGGAAGTTGGAGGAGAGACCATGTGGATTACACTCTTGCAGAAAATTTGTCTGCATTTTGCCAATGTCCTGAGACTTTGCAGGAGACTGAAATTAAGACTATGAACTATTGGGCTGGGGATTTAGCTCAGTGGTTTTGCCGCCTGCTGCACAAGCGCAAGGACCTGAGTTCAATCCCCGATACTACCAAAAAAAAAAAGACTATGAACTACTGAATCTGGGGAGGAAATTTCAAGACAGTCCAACATTCAGACTGTGGCATGGATACTGCTGACTGCATCTGGCCAAATTTATAGGGGGAATCGGGGACAAAAGGTAGAACAGAAAAATTTTAAACTTAAATTTTGGCCCTGAAGCAGACATATGAAGTTAGGCCTATAAGAGGTATGCTTGCTGAAGAAATTAGCACCATTATAAATAAGTCAAGTACTTTGCATTAGGTGAATAGGAAAGATACCTTGAAGGCATCTCAGGAAATTGCCAGATCCCTCTTAGTGCAAGCTCAAAGGTGTAAAATAGTAAACTCCTTTGAAAGACTTTACTTTGAGAAGAGCAACTAGTGCATCATGCTCATTCAGAGCAACCTAGGGAAGTGCTTCCTCAGTTCAGCCATCCAGGTACTCAGAGGCCCCTGCAACCAGGTCCAAGGGCCCAGGATACTGCTGGCATTGGCAGCAGACCTTGGCATCATCCACATGGAGCTGCTTTTTCAGGCATACAGAATACAAGAGTTGTGGGTTCATGAGGCTTCCACCCAGATTTCAAAGAAGGGACTGAGGGGGCAAGCACTGTGCTCCTGAGAGAGCAGTGTGTGAAGCTGTGAGAGTGAAGCCAGCTGACCATGGACTAAATCCTCCAAACCACTGTCCAAATCACACCTCTCCTCTTTTAAATTGAGAGTGTCAGGTATTGTGTGTCAGTGATGGGAAAGAGGACTAAAACAACATCTCTAATAATAAACAAATGACGATTAAGTAGATTTGAATCATCCAACTTATAGATTAGTATATACCCATCAATATTGATATTTACAAAGAATGTGAAATATATGAAATATTACCTTAGAATGTTAATAAACTATAAAAATCTGCAGGTAAAGAGTGCCTTCCACTATTTGAGTAGGAAAGAGGAAAGGAAGGAAAGAAGGGAGAGCGGGAGAGAGCATGGGAGGTGGAGTAGCGAAAAGAAACGACATCTTTTGACTGAAGGAAACATACCCAGACACTGGCAGCAATGTTTTGTGGTGGGATGAATGTGTTTCTGCCTTGCACAGCTGAAAATGTGTGAACAGGAAATCCATCTGCAGACCGCGTGAGGATCTCAGCAGACCTCCCCAGCAAAACAACCCCAACCTTTCTAAATAATAAAGGATAAACATTTAAAATGTCTGCAAATTTTCCTAGGGTTATAGAGCCAATAAAATATCTAACCAGGGAAGTCAACAGCTCTTGAGCCAGGATCTGCAGCTCCAGGCAGTGGAAGCTCCTTCTGCATCGGGCGCCTGAGTCACAGGGCTCCCCCACTTGCCACCCACAGCCCCGGGAGAGAGCTGTGGTTCCGGCTTCCTGGGGCAGACACCAGCCAGGCGCTGCAGGAGCTGGATTCTAGGTGAGGGAGGCCGAGAAGGGGAAGCCGGCCTCCCTCCCAGACCCCCTCAGCATCTGCCCCAGCGCACAGGCAGGGAGCAGTGGGGTTCCTGCACCCCCTTGTGCGGGAGGCCTCACTCTGGAGAGGTACAGTGGAGACCAGATGGCCTCAATGGGGCAGAGTTGAGATCTTTCTCTCTGAGATCTGTACAGAGTAAGGGTGCCACTTACGCCTCTTTCATTCAAGGTAGTCATAGAAATCCTCACCAGAGCAATCAGGCAAAAGACAGAAATGTAAGGCATTCAGAATGGAAAACAGGAATTCAAAATGCCACTGTCTGCAGATAACATAATCTTGTGACTAGAAAGCCACAAAACATTACAAGAAATAGTAAATAAATACAGCAAAGATGCAGGAGACAAAATCAATAAACAAAACATCAAAACATGCTGGGTTATATCTATAACCCAGCAGGGAATTATCTGAAAAAAATCAAGAAACGATCTCATTTATAATTGTCATGACAATAACACACAGTACCTACGAATAAATTCAACCATAGAAGAAGGCTCTCTTCAGTGAAAATTATAAAACACTGATGAAAGAAATCGAAGAGGACACACACACTCATGCACTGGAAGCATTAATACTGTTAAAATGTCGACACACCCAGAGCAACCCACTGAGTCCATCGCAACACCCAGGGCTTCAGTTCACAGCTCAGTTCTCAGAACTGAAGAAACCCCAAACGTGTACGGAAACACCAAACAAACCTCGCAGCAACCAAAGCAGTGTGGGGCGGAAAAGAGCAATGCAGGCGGCACTGATGGGCTTCACGAGTCGGCTTGGAGGAGGTGGTGCTGGCAGGCAGCCGCAGGCCGGTCACCCCCGACCAGGAGACCAGGTTCTCCCGACCCGGCCCGCGGAACCGGCTTCTCAGTGACGGACACTGCCAGGGCAACCGGATGCCCACCTGCGAGTCAGACCTGGGCCACTCAGCTCAAAAGGGAAGAAAACACCGAGGAAACGCTGCGGCACGTTAGAAAGGGTGGGGTTGGCTCAGACCTCTCCAAATACAGGCAGTAAAAACAAAAGCCAACAACAGAATTACCTCAAACTAAAAACTTCCGTTGTAGCTGGGCAATGGTGATTGTTGACTGAAATGCCTAGCAGTTGGTAAACACACTTCTGAGCGTGTCTGTGGGTATGTCCAGAGGTGATTGGCACACGGGCCAGCAAACCAGGCAGGAAGACCCGCCCTGATTGGGGCTGCCCCAAGCAATAGGTTTACAGCCCGGATGAATTGAAAGGGGAAGGAGGCGAAAGTGGGCTGCCACACACACACGCACGCACGCACGCACGCACGCACGCACGCGCGCGCGCTGTGTTATACATGCTCCCATTTATATGAAATGTGAGAGATGGCACTCAAATCCTCTCTTAAAGACAGAAAATAGATGAATGGATTCTTAAGGATAGGAATATTGGGGGAAATGGAGTTACCACTAATGGGTATAAGATTTCATTTGGGATAATAAAAATATTCTAAAGTTTATCATGGTAATTATACAGTTCTGAACATACTAAAAACTATTAGAATTTAAGTGAGTGAACTGAATACTATATGAATTATATATTGGTAAAACTTTTATGTTTAAACAAATGCAAACAGCTCTTATCCCAGAATGGACAAAAATGTACAACGTATGACGTAGCTTTATCCACGGAGATAGATCATTTCACAATCTTCCTCTAATGTCAAATACGATGAGTCCTTGAGAATACCAAAAAAAAAGAACAAAGATTCCCCTTGAGGTGATGGGGTGTGACTATCCACCTTGAGGGGCCCCTAAGAGTTGGGGAGGAAGTGGTAAGCCCCAGACGGGGACGAGTTTGGAGAATGTCGTTCTGGAGAAAACAAAAACTGTAGCATCAAAAGGGATGTGGATCCTTGGGTAGAGAGCAGCTGCACCATGGACAAAGCCCTTTTGTTTGAAAAGCGCTCTTTGCTCCTCAGTAGCTGTTCTTTTTTCTGCAACGTTTTCTCCCACGTGAACTTTACCAATGGGATACTTTTCGTATCTTGCCAGTTTTCACACCACTCTGGTATGTGACGGGGTAAAGACTAGAATTCAGAAATACTTAGTCTGTGCTGAACATTGTCATTGAAAATCCTATGCCATTCAGTAAACAAATTACATTAAAATGCACTGCATATCATTTGAGTCAAATGACTAGGTAAGAATTGAAGTTAGTGGTCAAAGTCATTACTTCACGGATAAACTCCAAAGTTCCCAAGCCAAGTTCCCCAGACTTTTTCAAACATTAAGCCTGGAAAAAGTAGCTAGCACTTAACTCAGCAATAACTTCTCTCAGCAAAAGCTACACTTTTTTCCTTTCTTTCTGAACAGGTATCAGGAGCTAGATGATAAAAACCTGAACAACTTATTTCTCATTCAATTTTCTAAAATGATTGTGTTAGCTGGAGGTTTAGAAATCTTGGTCACATTATGAAAATCCCACAGAGCTTGCTTTTGTCTCACTGTGGAACGTGTCGTGTTCCAAATGCTGTCTAAAATTAATGTGCAGTAGCAATGTCTCTTATGGAAACAAGATGTCTTAAAGTAAACAGCATGAGTAGATTCAAGTGTTGCTCTCTTCTTTATGCTCTTTTAAACATATTGGTGTATTAGTACATGTGCTTAGCCCATCACGTTCACACTCCTCGCGCAGAGTTGGTGCGTGTACCGGACACGTCTTTGTTCCTTTTTCACCCCCCACAGCTCCTGAGCCCCTTCCTTGTTATTTTCTTTGGGTCTGTCTGCAGTGCATGTTTAGATTCCTCGTGGGGAGTTGGCACATGCACGTAACACATCCTGGTTCTTTTCCATCCCATCCCTCCCCTTCTTCCCCCTTCCATTTTCTCTCCCTTTAGATTAGATATCAAAGAGAAAGAAACATCAGGCTTATGAGGATTTAATACTTATCTCTTTGCAGTTATTTTTGTACAGAAAAATGATTGATTTTCCCCCAAGGAGAAGTAAACCAATAATAGTTTCCACCAGACCTGTGGGAGTGTAATTGCAGTGTAGGTCACAAAGGCAGTGAGAGCACTGGCCACGACCCCTTCTCTCTTGTGAGCCCTGGGCTCCCCGGGAGGCGTTCCTGCTGAGATTGGCAGAGCACAGGTGGCTGCGCAGTGCCTGCCTAGTGTGGAGACCTCGGCTGTGAGTCACAGGCAGTCAGATGGGCTGTGCTGATGAGAGGCAGGGGCAGGGTGGCTTCCCACTGGAGCAGGCCAGGTTCAGCCTGGACTTTCTTCTAGGGGTTGATTAATTTAATATATTACAAAGTTACAGACTTGGCTTTGTTCGCCCTTGTAGACCCTGATTCCCAGGCAGGCCAAAGCCACAGTCTTTAGGGACAGCCTTTGCTGCATGACAGCAGCCTCAGCTTTTGGTGCACAGGGGAGAGCTGTTTCCTTTTGAATCTGCTGATGACTTGCTGGTCTCCTTGGCCAGTGAAGAGGGGACACCATGGATCAAGATGAAAGGTGGAAAGTGAAAGGTAGACGGGAGGAAGTAAGCACAGGATGATAAAACAGACCAGGAAACGCTTGCTTAGATAAATGAGGCCCACGAGGGACAAAAGGTCATCACTGTGATCCCCATCTAAAAGAACTTTAAATAGGCAGGACAAAAGGTGGCTTTCAAAAGATCCCTGGTCATACAAGCACAATCCAAATCCTCTTATTTTTAAAAATGCTACCTAAGAAAGCTGGCATCAATTAAAATCCCTCCCACATACACGCCAAAATAAATGCTCATAGAAAAGTGGGCCTTGGACAAAGACAGTGCAAGTTGGTTTCCTTATCTATAAAGATCACAATAAAAATACTTGCCAGTTTGAACCTTTGACCTCTGAGATTCTTTCCAAATTGCTTTCTCTGATTGTGGCTGAGATACGCTTGTGTAAGTTCAGGTGTCACATCCACGAGGAGCACAGGAATTTTAAAACGTGACACAGCGCCTTGGAGACTGGGGCCAGCCCGAGCACAGTGGCCCCGTGGCCTGGCCCTTGGTGGCCCGGCCTGTGTTGGCCCTGGGGCGGCATTCATCACCCTGCCACTTCCAGAGTGGCTCTGCCCTGCTTGCGTGGGATCTGGGAGTTAAATAAGCAGGGCCGAGGCCACCGCAGTGGTCACAGAGGCATCGGCAGGGCTGGGATGCACATCAGTGACCACCGTGATGGCTCCCAGAGGACCGCCAGACACTCCTGACCAAGTGGCGCTTTCTCTGCCTGGCAACTTACAGCGCTGGGAAAAGGCAAGTAGTCAGCCTGGAGTCACTCAGCCCCAGGGCCACGTGGTCTCCTCCAGCCCCTCCACGCTCTGAGCCCGGCTTGGTGCAAGAGTCCCTGGCCCAGCACAGGGCACCGAGACCCACGACACCTGGAGTGCAGGGCAGAGGGGACCGAGGGGCTGTGTCCAGTACTGTCCTCTCCTCCGCGGCCCAGCTGAGCTGGTCGGGCACCAGCCAGCCTCTTCCAGGGCGCAGCACTCTGCTTCCAGGCTCCCGAGTGGCTCACAGGCACCGGCGCTCTGCCTGTTCATGCTCAGTCACCAGACCTGGGAACACACGCCTCCCTCCGTCCTCCTGGAGTGTCCCCAGAGATTTCTTAGTTCAAGTGGGGCCACCCAACCACCGTTCCCAGGGCGGCTTCTGGCAACAGCCAGCCGCACCTGGGTCTGGATGTCCGAGCTCTGGCTGAGTTCCCGGGTGGGGATTCAAATGTTTCCCAATGGACAAAGAAAGAAATTAAGGCCCCGCCCCAATCTGATCTTGAATCCCAAGCCCCGCTGTGAGAAGGCCACTTCCCAAGTGAGAAATGGCAGAGGAAGGTCTCAGGGTTGTTTGTGCTCCCCGTTAAGTCAATAATGAAGATATTAGGGCCATTTTAAAAGAAGGAAAGTAGAGTTGAGCCAGAAAGAATGTTTCTACAATCGGGCAAGCAAGCAGCTGCACATGGTCAACTGCCATACATTTTCTCGATCACCTCAGCAAGATCTGGTTGTCTGATCTTCATGCTTTCCTGGAGCATTTCTCTCTGTCGTAAACCAACCCTTTTCTCACTAGATAGTTGTGTGCTCTCAGGACACTGCTGACTTCCAAGCTCTCTGAGGGCGAAGCACCAGTTGAGTAACAGGGAATCTTCGATGGAAACTCTTGTCTCTCACATGTAATTTATGCAGGTCAGTTCCTCAGACTCCACACATCAAAGATTTTCCAGCCTAAGCATCAGTCGTGCCACCTGATTTCCCAGTACGGCTTTATTTCTTTCGCTTTAGAAATTTCTTGTCTTGAGCCTTGTCTATTTCGAGCACCAGTCCCCGGGGTAGTGCAGGCTTCAGCTCTCCACTGGGCCACGCGTGCCTGGTCTCCCGTGGGATTTCCTCTGGCCAGTCCTCCCTTTCCAGTGAGGAAGAGAGGCAGATGACAGTGTAGATGTTTTGGTTTTCCCTTCAAGGAAGTTAAAATAATTGCCAGTTTGTATTAGCTTACCAAGTCAAAGACTTTATTCTAACTCTGTGGGAAATGTTTGACTTTAACTTCCATGTAGGGAAGCATCTGTGGCTTCAAAAGCAAATTGGGCTTGTCTTTTCTTAAGTCCACAGTAATTTCACGTAAGGCTCAGGATCGTTCCTTTGCATAGTTAGCCTATATGGTGGTAACTGAGCAGTTTTCTGAAAGGCTCCAAGCATTTGAACTGCCATGGTGTTCTCTTTTGGCATTTAGGGAGAAAAAGTATTAATCTTCATAAAATCCAAGAAGACAAAAGAATAGTCAACGCAGTTGTGTTCTATAGTCCCCTTATTATGCGTAGGTATTTGGTGTGGCAAGGAACAGAGATGATTTCCAAACCCTCCCAGCTTGCTGCCCACCCCGACCCCTGGCAGAGTGGTCAGGAGCCAGCAGCAGGCAGTTTCCCAGGGAGATAGCCCAGCTGACCTACCTAGCCCCGGCCTGTGAAGCTAACGCCTTTCAGGTGGGGGAAATCCATTCCCTGGCCCTTGCTTTGCTGTGAGGCCTTTGAATGTCACCCACTCCTCTCTGGCTCTTTGGAGAATAATTAGTAGCCTTGTAATTTCCCTGCTCCCTGGACAAACAAGTGCCATGGCAGCCAGCCCTCTGTGCTCTCGGGGACTCTTATGTCCCCAGAGTCACTGGGGCCTGGGGCCAGGTGGGCAGCACTGGAGTCGCTGAGCTGCCTTTCACTCAGCAATTGATAGGCCTGGGCAGGGACTGTGGACTC